CATTGCATACTTTTTGGCGCTTCAGTTACAAGCGCCCGATAGACAGCGCCCGCTCGCTCTAGCTTTATCGCACTCGATTTTTTTTTGTTTTTTGTGTTGTGTCAGTAGGACATAATTTGATACGGGCTGCCAGTCACAGACCCAAGCAATTTCCACCTGCCTAATATGGCAGAAGTAGCGCCAGTTACGGGCACCACAAACACCAGGACACACAGCAGCTGAGGGCCTTTGTACACGCCCTCATAGTTTACCGACTTTTGTCTGGCGCTGCATAATTGAAGTCAACAATTTTTTTTTCTTTTCCCTGTCCCACACCCAACAGGCGGAGGTGGGGTACATGTGTTTAAACTGTCAAAAAAAAAAAAGCAACAACACGAAGCGGCCAGGATATGGACAGGGACACGCTCTGACACATATTGTCATAAAATTATTCAATGGTTATTGTCAACGTCATCAACTCACACACACACACACACACAGTGTTAAAAGTTTTTGGACCCTTACTTTGTAGCGTTTCCTTCCCGCGTGCAGCCCTTTTGCAATTTTTTTGAATAGCATTTCGTAAGCGTTGCAAAATAAAAAGGCAAAAACATTAAATGGCAATATGAGAAGCCCCTTTATACATACACACGCACACACACACATGTATACATTTGGATTAAGGTGGGGAGTGTGATCCTTCCAGCATATGCGTTTAGACCTTGGGCGTTGCCAAAAACGTAATTACTTGGCCATGTCCAGAAGGTCTTCGAGGGATTTGCGCGCTCGTTTTGTTTAAATAACGTGGCTCATTCATTCGAGCAGAAGATAAAGTGCTACCAATTAACGCAAAATAAATAAAACTCAACTAATTGTTCGAAAAAACAAAAAAAAACAAAAAAAAAAACGAAAAAAAAAAAACAAGAGTGGGACAAAGTGGGCGTGCAGACAAAAGAAATGAACGAGCATCAGTCTGAGCTGAGGTTGGACCCTAGGCAAACTCTTCAAAATGGACAGACGCGAAAGTCTGTCCAGTCGGCCACTTGGCCGCAAACCGACGACAGTCAACATTTCTGCAACTGCCACAATGTTGTCGTGTCTACGTTTTTCCTGCCAGCGCGCGCTTGGCCCACTTCTATTTTCCTTTTTCCTTTGCCAGCCCATTTTCTTTACAATTTTTACTGCTCGAGCGTTTTTCTTTTTCTTTCTTTCTTTTTTTTGTTGCTGCCTTTCGCTTTTGCTCATTGTGCAAACTTGACATTATTGTTTCCTAAGGCCAACAACTAGAAAACACAACGTCAACCGAGCGCCTAGCCTGGGTCATGCCAAGTCACTTTTGGCTAAAACCGGAGAGAACGGAACAGCCTGGCCAATCCGCACCTTGCCTTATCGCTGCTGCTGCTGCTGCGGCTGCTGCTGTTGTTCCCTTTTGTTGACTAGTCGGCGTTGCTCTATTGTTTGCGTAGACGCCAAATTAAAATCAGCTGCGACGTCTGAGATTCAGCGTTTAAAACTACTTGGCATACCCTATTAATTTTAATTGTGATAACTGTCACTTATAATATTGTGCAAACGTATGTAACAGGCACAGGAGCTTATGAAGTATATTACAGTGCCATATTCTTGGCCTATTTGCCTTTCTCCACGATGAATAGTCTCTTTTTAAAATGAATAGCTAGGAAAAACGACATTTGATATAAGAACGCTTCTTTCAACTGTCAGAAAGTATTTCCTGTCTTCTGTATTATTCCCCCTCTCGCTTTGGCATAAAGTCGCAAACTGTATCTATCTCTCGCTCTCCCTCTCTTTCTTTCTTATTTTGGTTAGTAAGATTTCTTTATCTACTCAATCTGTCAATCTCTCTCTCTCTCGTTCTGATTCGCTGTTACCTTTTGCATATCTCTGTTTATCGATTGCCTCTCTCTCTCTCTCTCTCTCTCTCTCTCTCTCTCTCTCTCTCTCTCTCTCTCTCTCTCTCTCTCTCTCTCTCTCTCTCTCTATCGCAGTCTCTATTCCTGTCTTACTTTTTCTCCTTCTGTCTCATTTGCTGTAGCTGTGTCTATCCTTTGTCTTTTTCGCTGCCTCTTTTTCTCTCTATCTATCTATATTTCATTCCCTCTCTATTTATCTCTCTCTTTATGTATCTCTAGCTATCTACCACTTCATCTCGCTCTCTCTCTCTCTCTGTCTCTCTTTATCTATCTATCTTTCTTTCTCTTTGTCTATCTCTATCTATCTCTTTCTCTCTATATCTATCTGTATCTATCTCTCTCTCTCTTTATCTATCTATCTTTCTTTCTCTCTCTATCTCTATCTATATATCTCTCTCGCTGTCTCTGTCTCCCTCTCCCTGTCTCATGGTATAAATGCTCTATCTCTCTCGATCTTACATAAAAAGTCTCTCGCTTTCATAACACATCTCTTATGAATACCGCTGTATGATATGTGATATACCTAGAATGTTTTCATAGGACAATTCAATTCAATAAAACAATTTATTTATCATCTCCCAGTCGAGCACTCTCCGCAAACGCATTTATGCTTATGTTTAAATTTTTTTACGTTTTGCTGTCGAGTGCGTAAATCGTTGAACTGCGCCTTTTGTTTACATATTCGCGAATATATATTTAATTAGGCTAATTAGGGAACGTGCTTTGAGCCAGAAAGCGGCTTAAGCTCCGCTTTGGCATGAGGCGGGGGGAGGTGTGGTTTAATTTATGCGCCGCATGGGTTACTGCATTTCAACAATAATTAGAAATGTCTGCCTGGTCAACACATGACGCAGCTCACAGCATAAGGTGCGGCGAGGGCATGGCCCAGAAAGGGGAGGGGGAGGGGGCAAAAGACGCCTCGTGATAAGCATAAGAAATATGAGCACCGGATATAAATTGTGTCAGCGGCAAAATGATAAAAAACCACTTAAAGGCGCAAACAATACTCTGCTGCCAGGCAGCCGGCACAATGACAAACCGCTCGACTAACCGCAAGCGCAGCAAAAGCAAGAGGGCAACAACAACAGCAACAACAACAACAACAATAATGGCAGCAAGAGCAACACACAAATGGCGACAAGAACGGAAACAACAAAAGGACACAACTTGTGCTGTCTGTGTGGAGGGTCCTGTCTTTGCTTTTGCCAAGTCATTTGCGGCACTCGGCGTCTGGTCTGTTGGTGCTTTGCTGTGGAAGGGGGAACCACCTCCACCTCCACCTCCGACCCTCGGACGGACATTAAGAAATACAATAAAAAGCGCCAAAGATAGCACGTCAGGCTTTTTAATGCGCAAAATTGCAAACGTTGCCAGCTCGAGCTGCGAAAATAATGCGAAACGGAAGAAATTAGTTGCGTGCAAATTTATGCTCAAAGGTTTTCGGTCAGCCTGGCACACAGGAAAAGGGTCATTTTGTAGACGCGTGAAATTCCCAGACCCTTACCCCCCTGTCCACATTCCACAGAAAGCCGCAGCTACTTTTCAACATTTTCTAACGATTCTTTTTATTGGCCTAGCAATGCGACAGGCCCAATGGCAAGGGGGATAGGCGGGGTGTCGGCTCCATCATCAAATGCCGCAGTTACAAAACGTTTAAATTGAAAAATGCGCTAAATTGAGCAGCCATTTTTATTATGCATTTAACTTGAGGCACCGGCCCCTACAACAGACGCGGTTTAGGCCCTTTAACATTCGCTGGAAGAACCTTTGGAGCAGTTTCTGTACCATTTTAATAGAAAGAATCAGGGCTCCCCGATTGGGATATATATTTTTCTTTCTTTTGGCACCAAACTATGATAAATGTGTTTGTGTTTAATTTCGGCCCTTAGAGTCCGATCTGTGTGTAACGATTGCAAGGCTCTACATGATGTTGAAAGGGAGAAAGGGAGCGAGATATATGCAAAAAGAGATAAATAATATAAACTATACAAGAATCTACTTGCCAACTTTGGTATTATATGCCTCATATAGTCTCTTATTATTTTCGACTAATACGAGCTATGCTTAAAATATATTGTAAGTTAAATTTAGGTTAAATTTCAAGTCTATTTCGGAGATTTCAGAGGCGGACTGATGAAAGGACGAGCATAGAACATACATCAAAGACAATTGCCTATAATATAGTCTTTGGCTAGATCAACTTAAATATACTTTACGGATTCCTTTGCACACAAAAATCATTATACACTTTTCACGCATTCTCATAGGTTTTTTGTTTTATAAATTATTAAAATATTTTTTCACTCAATAAAGTTTTTTATTTTAATTCAAAGCAACAATATTATTACTAGTTGAAATTTCTTTGTTCATATGCAAAGAGGCATTATTCAACCATGCACATTTGCATATTCTTTGATTGAAATGGTTTTTTTGTGAATGTAAATAATGAATATGTATATTTACAGCAAAATACAAACAGTTTTAAACAAATTAACAATGCTTAAGACCGACTCAGCAATGCTCTATAACAGTCAAACAAGGCTCAAAAGGAGCTTTTCAGTTTGAAGGTTCAGTGCATCCAAAACTGTAAGCCAGAGTCAATGGCTATAAAACGGTAGAGTACTGGAATTTTATAGTCGTTCGCAAACTTAAAAGAGTCCATATGACTGTCCATCCATAGCACAAAGCCAATATACTCTTTTTAGGCATTGTGAACAGCGTATAGAAATAAAACATTTGCTCAACATTTTATTGCTGCAAATGTTCCAGCTTGTGCCGCAAAAAATGCCATTGACTAAAGTAAAATAGAATAAAGTAGATAGATTCCAGCCACGTGCGGCAACCGTAACAGTCCCAAAAACAGCCCTTAAGCAGCCCCTAAAGCAGCCCCTAAAGCAGACCCTATACCATTAACAGCGCAGCAGTTGCCAAAAAAAAATACAGCAAAGCGCATTTAAATTTACGACCTTTCGCCAATACGTACTTATAGAAATGTATATTATTATATATATTTTGTGCAATTATTCCTTAAAAATAACAAATATATTTTTACTTGATATCTTTCACGTTTTTCTCGTTTGCTTCCTGCAGCTTTGATGTGCGCGGGCGGCCCTTTGAGAAGGCGCTCTACTGGTCGGATACCAACTCATTTGGGCCACGTGCGTATTTTGTTACCGGACAGCAGCCGGCGAAATTATCTGTGGAAAATATACAGCTGGACGATGAGGGCGTAAGTAATACCCTACCCTTACCCTATCCTACCCTGCCCCGACCCCATAAAGTATGCTTTATTATTTTTGCTGCTTTTCTGCTCTAATGTTGTTTGGGCTTTTGTCAACAGGTTTATCGCTGTCGCGTGGACTTTCAGAACTCGCCGACGCGCAATCATAGAATTAATTTAACGGTCATTGGTAAGCTAGCCGCAACTGCAATATACGATACGAATATGCCACCCAAACAAAAAACAAACAAACCCTTCTCTCCGCAGTTCCTCCGCATCAGATACTCGTGTATGATGCCTCAGGCCGAGATGTGGCTGGCGCTGTGGGTCCATTGCTCGAGGGCGATAATATTGTGTTGACATGTGAAGTGCGTGGCGGTAAGTAAATCATGATAAACGACACAGACACGACACACACAGACATACACACACTCGCGCACACAGATACATGCACAGTCAGCTACTTAAATGTGGCACTCAGACAAAAGGCTATCAAGCAAGGCTGACAAGCAATGCCGCACGCAACATTGCCCCAGTTGCCGCCCGGCCGTGAGTCTATTTAAAGAATTAAAGATGAGGCACCGCAGATAGGTACACGGGCGCTCACGCTGCCCAGGGCCCAGGCAGAGTTTGAGACGCAGTCGAAGCATGGCCTAAGTCGTCGTAAATAATAAAAATATATGTATGTCAGAGTCTGCGGTGACAGTGTCGACGAGGCGTCGGCCAGACAGCAACTGCTGCTGCTGCTGCGACTGCGGCTGCGGCTGTCATTGCCACTTTAGTTTGAAAAATGCAACAATTTTCTAGCGTCTGGCTTTTGTCGCAGCGTCGCCTGTGTGTGACCTGTAGGCATATGCGGCATCGTAAATCTTTAAAAAGGTGTCCAAGGTGAAACGACTGCGTTCATGGGCGAAAGTTTTTGGTTTTTGCTATACCCTGAACCCATTGCAAATGGACAGAAGGGTATGATGTTTTGTGAAGATGTATGCATATATAGACTATAAATATTCCTAATACGAATCAATAGCGAAGAGGATTAAGCCATGTCCGTCCGTCCGTAAAAACTCTTCGATCTCGAGAACTATTCTAGCTAAAGACATGAAATTTTAAACGCTGCTTCTTCTATTAAACACACGTACTTAGTTTTTTTCATATAATCGATAACTTGCCTCGTTGCCAAGAAATCGATAAAAATCCATGTCGATATCCTGTTTTTGAGCATATCTCGCACCTTGCAAGAACATTTTGTATGTAAACTTAGGCAAGGGTATCTCCTAGTCGAGCGTGCCCGTCTCGAGCACTCTTACTTAATTTTTGGTATTTTTTTACACTGTTTGCGGGCAAGTGTGAAAAATTTGTACAAGTTGCACGCTTCACCAAAGCTGCTCGCAGGGCTCCAGTTGAAGGTTTGCCGCTTGGCTGGCAGAGGCTCTGCTGCTACGCTGACTGCCCTGACACGGACATTATAAATCATTAACTTTTTGACAACAATATTCTTTTTCTTTTTCTGGGGGCAATGCCCACCAGACGAACGGCAGATGAATATTCTACAGATTCAAAAGGTGGCGTATTTGTGTAGTGCAGCTTAAAGCGCTGACACGCCCATTTGGGGCTTGATTTCAAGCAAAGCTAAAGAAGAAGAATCAGCTTGGTGTCAATTCAATCAATTTACAATTTAATCAACCAGCATTGCGCATACGCCCCGTATGGCAGCGCAGCTTTAACGTGTGGCTTGCTTTAATGATTTGCACTAGCTGCAGAAGCTGTACACTCAGAGAAATTTGTTGTTCGAAGTTGTAGTATGATCGGAGGAGCATACAAATATTAAAATATGACAACCTTAGTATTTAATACATTCTTCAGCTAATAAGAAAGGTTTTCGTAGAGAAATTAATCTTATTAAGAAAAATTAACAAATAATCCTAAATAAATATATTAGTTTAGAATATATAATAATTGAAAAAAAAGGAGAAAAAACTCTTTAAAAAATTTGTAATGAAAATTTGGATAGAAGAGAGACAGATGGGGATGCTAATAATAATTTGGAGTTATATTAAATGATATTAAGTAGATATATCAAAAGAAAATATGTTTGGCTTGCAATATATTTAGTGAAAACAAAATAAAACCTGAATTGTTTCATAAATATTACAAACAAAAGCTTGAACCGATTTCTGTGTTCATGGATTTTCCACACACTTAACCCTAAGGCAGACGTAAACCAAAGTTTCAAAATTGAATCAAAATTTAGTCTATAAACATTTAATAATTAATTGAACTACAGTTAATCCTCGATTATTCAGAACTCTTTTTAGCTGGGAAAATAAATAAATAAAAACACGGCATCGTTTATTCGAGTTTTTCAAATATCCGCAATTAGCTTAATTTCAAATATCCCCCATAATCGAGGTTCAAATGTATTTCGACCAAGTTGGGTTAGAACCAATTTGTTTGGTGTTTTTTTTTTCTGCCAGTGTACCCACAGCAGTGCCTCGCAAATCCTTGCTTTGAACTACTCAAATAGTTAGCTATGGCTTTGTGCAACTGAATGTAGCACGCTGCCAGCTCCTGGTGCCCCATGCTGCCGCCTGCCCCCGCCTGCCCCCGCCTGCCCCCGCCTGCCCCGCCTCCGCCTGCTGTTTACGTGCAGCACTCTGCATGTAAAGGATTTTGCTTTTGGTTGTGTGACTCGTAGCTTTGGCATTTGCTGCCGTGCGGTTTGTTTTGGTTTTGGCAATGCGTCACGTACTCAAACGCGCCGGCTGCTTTGATTAGCCGCAGTGCAGATTGTACCTACCAGCGGGTAGCAGCGTGGTGAGGGGGAGGGGAGCTCTAACAACTCCGACGACATTTGCTATTTTGACACCTGCTGGGCGACGCCTTGGCTGTAGCCTGGCTGCGGCAGCTCGCCTGTGATTTGTATGCAACATTTTGTTGCCAACCCTCCGGCGCAGCTGGCAGCCAGCAAATGCATATTTCATTTTCCAGCTGCAGCTGGCACCGCTGAGCGCTTAGGCAAATTAACTAATATTAGCTGCTAGGCGCCTGCCACATGCTGACTGGCTCGAAAGGCAGGTTAAGAGGGAGGTTTGCGAGGGCAAAGGCCAGAGGTTAAGCGCATGCAAATCTTGATGTGGTTTTTATGATTGCGCCCCCATAATCATTGCCCAGCTGGGCGCCGGCGCGCAGCATCATAAACGGGCAAACGCCAAATTGCTTTATCAACTTTTATTAACTTCGACTAATAGCAATTAATACCAGCAATAAAAAGCTAATCTAAGCGCACACACATAAAAACCCCGATCTTCAAGCTATTTTTATGGCCACGCTAGGCTATGCATAATTTGATGGTCCAGCTGAAACGCAGTTGCCCAACGTTGCCCAACCAATTGTCGACAACCTTAAGTATGGCTTAGCAGCGCGCTGTCTTCATTACTGAAGGGATTACCAGGGGAGGGGGAGTGGGGGCACATACATGCGAGCAGCTAAATGCCACAAGGCAACTGTTATTTGTCTATTATCCCTGCATACTTTTCGTGCCACATTCATGGCCATTGTGTGTCTTGACTTGGCTTATTGTCGCCAATGTCCTCGCTGCGTATCCTTTGCAATCAGCAAACATTTGGGCACCAAATTCCCCAAACTGGCGTCCAGCACACACACACACACACACACTCGACTAACAGCCACTTGCGTGGCACCATCCCCCCCCCCCTCCCCACCCCTCCGCCCTTCTTCCAAGCCTGTCTCGTCTGCTTGTTCCTATTGTTGCTCATTTCCGCCACATTCACTTGGCTGACTTAATGGCCAAGCTGCAGCTCAGCAACAGCTCTCCTTCCCTTAGCATCCCCTCACAACACCCCCGCCCCGCCATCTAATGTTTCGGGGCACTTAAACGGATTAAAAATATTTTGTGCATTTGATATGTGAGCCAGCGGATGAAATGCTTTTACTTAAGGGTGCCAGCTTTAGACGTGAAGGGAAAAAGCAAAAGCAAAAAAAAAAAACAGGGAGAATTTCGATTACTTTTGCCAGACAGAGAGTGAAATTAAAGAAAGCAGATACTTGGCTAGATAAAAAACACGACTCCAGACACATGCCAAACGTGTACATATTAATTATATCTATAGAAGTTATATTTACTAATCTCTCTCACTTATTAGTTAGTGGCAGTTAAATGATAACACTTGAGTAGAATAACAAATGAGTTTTAGTATACTTTAAACACCTCAACAAAAGGTTATCTGATATTGGCAGCTTATATCTATTATTAGAAGAAATTACCCAGCATTGCCCGGCTCACGTGAATTATGTTGAAAGAGTGCTAACAAAATTTGTTACATAAATTTGTTGCAGAGATTAAGTTTCCTTAAATAATTCTGTTTTAATTTATTTGTTTTTTATTTAAAGAAATATCTACTATTTACTGTGCTTTGATTCCTATTGAACTCAGTTAATTATTCAGGTCAAACTTTTTGTATATATAGAAATAGCTCGACAAAAGAATATCTATATATAGAAATAATCAATCCTCTGTGAATATTTAAAAGAAATTGCTTTCAGTAAGCGTATTTAGACTTCGGCATGCCAAAGAGTACAATTATTGTTCTTTCTCATTCCCGTTCGCTAACAATATAATCGAGAGTGAAATTAAAAAAAGCAAAGGATAATTTGAAAACAAACAGAGAGCAGTCGATTTTATATCAATAAAATTATATCTTATAATAATGGCTAATAATGATGATAATGTGATTAAAATCGTTTTATACGAATCTTCTTTTTCATTCCTCGCAATAAGAATAAATGCTAGCAGATTAGTTAGAAGTAGAAAAACAAATATTGTTTGACTAATTATATTTGTAAGATATTGGTGATATTCTGCTTTAATTTGTTAAGGTGAGCCTAAAATAAAGGAATATAGTAAATAAAAAGACAGGAGAGACAATGATTCAACTGACCGTAAAATCCAACTATTTGCAAATAGTTTACAATAATAAATTATTAACAGACAACATAAACTCGCAAACACAGTCGATTATTTTTAAATATTTTACACGTAAAAAAATGGTTTTTTTAATGCATATATTCAGTGTTGTTTTTTGTTTTTGACCACTCAAATTCGAAAAGCAATTTGTCTGCCCTTTTTTTCGGCTTATTTAACATTCAGGCATTGGCGTTTGTCTATCCAAAGTTTCGTGGGTTGATAGGGTCAGCTCGTACGGCTGCCGGACTTTCTGGGGGCAACTTTGCTAGTTAAGCTGGCTAAGCCTTTTTTAACAGCCTTGGGTACACACTGCTAAATGCGCATTATCATTAAAATGTGCAAAGTTCTTTTCGGCCATAAATTTTGCGAATGCTGCACGGCTGCTGCCTAATAAGTTAGTTGCGAGTTAATAATGCATGAGCCAAAACTTTGTTGCCGGCAAAAACAAATCAAAAATAAAAAATTGATATTTGCATTAAATATTCATTTACGGCTTCTGTGTGTGTGTGTGTGTGTGCGTCTATTCTCTAGATTTGAGTGTCTGCAATTTGCATAATTTTTATTCAATGCCCTGTCCATAGGTCGACCGGAGCCGACTGTCACATGGCTGAACGGCTCCAGGACTCTGGAGGCTGGCAGCGGCATATCGATGGGCCGTCATGTAACTGTTAATCGACTGGAGGTGCCACAAATAACGCGTGCGGCACTCAACAACACATATCGCTGTCAGGCGTCCAACACAAAGCTGGTGGCGCCCGTCGAGCGTAGCATACGCATTGAAATGTTATGTAAGTCTGCGGCTACTCTACGAATATACACATCTATATATATATGTTTTAATACTCGAATTGTAATTTGCAGTGAAGCCGACGTCGGTGAATTTGACCAACAAGTTGAAGGTATTCTCATCGAGCACACAATATAATCTCACGTGCATTGTGGCCGGCTCGGTGCCGGATACGGAAATCAGATGGACACAGAATAATCGACCCTTCAAACGTGGCACGGTAAGCGGCTTGCACTTCCAATCGCAAAAGGAAAATCGAGAAAAATATATATGTATATCCGAAAATGTGTCAGGCAAATGTCATATTTATGACTTGTCATTGACACTTTGATATCTTGCACTTGTGCCCACCTAGCACAGAGCGGGCACTTTTCTAATCGATTTCACTCTATTCAACTGGATTCGGATCCTTCTCTCTCTTTCCATCTATCTATCTATCTTTTACGTAGCTGTCAACGAGCCAGGGCAATGGACGCGTGCTATCCACTTTGTCATTTTATCCACAACCTGAAGACGATGGCACCATGCTCAAATGCGAGGGTTCAAATCCCCGATTACAAAACTCAGCCATCGAGGATTCGCTCATGCTGAATGTCATGTGTAAGTAGAATATATATATACTATAAATATAAATACTTAGCGAAGTGTGGTTGGAGCAGCCCCATTTTAATTTCCATAAATATGGCTGAGGCTGCACAAATCAAAGCTGCCGTCGCAAATAAGTCTAAATAATGTAGCATTATTTGCCCAGTTGCTGCTCATATGTCAATATTTACATTCTCGACTCTTGGCGAGGCCATAAAATGGCAGACAGCCGACCAAGTTCCTTTGGCGTTCGCCCCTATTTGCCAACTTCAACCGAATGCCATAAATTTTACTTTATATGATTATCAATTTCTACAATTCACCGGTATAAAACAACACACAAACCGAGCCCCGATCCGCGCCTCCACATGTCAGCAAAAGGTCAAAAGTGTTTTTCAGTTTGCGTAGCACATAAAAAATATAAGGATGCAAATTTGTCTCTTACCAAAAGTTTTGCAGATTAGTTTGCCGGAATTCGCCATTTTTTTTTTGACACTTAGATTCGCTTTTCTCGAGCGAAGATAATCATAAATTTATTGAATTTCAAAGTCGTCCATGCGGGGCATCCAGATACCAGCGCACACACATATATCACACATATATGCAAAACCAACTTATAAATAAAAAACAAGCTAGAATGCGCGGGTTGCCCGACTAGTAGATACTCTATACCCAGCGACCAGTTGCCCTTACAAACATTTGAGCCTCCTTCTTAAAAACACACACGCAAGCCCTTTGCTTGACTTAACTAGGAAAATTCAATACCGTCGGTGTTTATAGTCCGATCTTTATAAACCATTTAACATTTAATGGAAAGGGAAGAATGTAGGCAAAAGTAAAAAACCTTTATATACTATTTCAGCATCGTTAGACATTCGAACTATTCTTAAAAAAAACCTGATCTTAAAATTGATTGTTATCGATTTATATAAGTGGGAGAAGTTATTGAGAAAAAATTATAAGCTCCTGCTTATGGTATAGGAGAACATATATTTCAATTTCAAGTCTACAGCTTTTGTAGTTTTGAAATCGACGCATTCACAGAGACATACAGATAGACAGACGGACATGGCTAAAAACAATATACCCCTTTTAGCCATTTTCAATGGGTGCAGGGTATAAATACAGTAAACGAAACTTGAACAACCTTTCACTTGGGCATGAAAAAGTATTGAAAAGCGAGCTTAAACTGACTACACCCCTCATCTACCTTTAAAATGTTGACTATTAATTAAATCTGTGCTGACAATTTAAGGTTCAGTTCGTTTGATATAGCTTATTTTATAAGCAGGATGTTTTATTTGGATTTGAAATGTGAGAAGAATTCAGAAGCTTGTAATTCCTCAGTTTGAGGGATATCTTGAAATAAAGCGCAATTTTCCATGCAAAAACTAATTTAATAATAAAAAAAAACCGATTTTTACATATTGTGTGACAAAATAATGATACTCTCTAAAAGGGTATACAAATTATCAGGTCAGCCATCAAAGCTATTCATGGAATGATGTCAGCTTCAGCTTCGTTATTATCCCTTACTTCCATGTTTCGATAACTATTCCCAAGTCAGAACTAAATTAAATGAAACATAAGTATAATATTTAAATATGCCTCCAGGTAGGATTACCTGAAAATATTTTCAATCAAGAGATTTAACTTGGACAGTGTATTTAACACTAATTAACGACTGTAAATCGAAGTACAAAGTATACCCTAGCCGAGCATACTTAATATTTAGACATAATATATGTATTAGTACTTTAGTTAGGGTATCTGCTAGTCAATTCATCTACTTATAGCTAATTTTGTAGTGCCCAATGTTTGATTAAAGCACCTAAGACAAATTTATGCATACAAAAATGTACTACACCAGAGACAGACACTTTTACACACACTATATCTATATACCCTTACCACGATAAATAATCATTGTGTTATAAAAATAAAATAACACTAAATTTTTTTTATGTGATCCATCATCGCTGTTTGTGCCCCACACACACACACACATTTTAATTTAAAAATTTTGTCATACCCATTGGTCGGCGGGTCGGCGTTCAGGGGTTAACCCGGCTTATAAAGCGGTTCAGCGCCGACGCGCTGTTAACTTTTATGGTCGTTCCTTAGCGCATCCGCGTCGCCGTGCGGCTCATACAATTCCCCATTTTATTATCCCATAATATTTTTCGATTTTATATTTTATATCACGGCTTGCGCTATAAAAAAAAAAAAAAACAAAACAGAAAACGCAACGCACGGCCGCGCAGAAAGACATTTTCCTTTGAAGCGTGTGACAATGAAAAATCAAGAAAAATATGTTTATCAAAAAATTGTAATTAAAATGTGCGTTAAAATGGTTAAATAGGATAAAATGGTTAAAAATGTATAAAGTGTTATTATTCCCGATGAACATCAAGCTGAGTCCGTCCGTTTGTATCATCAAATCAATTCCCAAGACTTTAAGAGCTGGAGACTTGAAATCTTGTCCTCGCTAATGAAGTTCGTTTCAAATCATCGATAACTTGGCCCCTTTTCATTAAATCGATAAAAATCGTTATCGAAATCCTGTTTTTCGAGCATATCTAGAAGCTTATAAGAGCTAGAAGCACCAAATTTATGTGAACTCTTGTTTAGTATTCGCTGATCCAAGATATTTCACTTTTCAGAAAGAAACTTAATTTTGGAGCTATAGTCTTGGGCTTTGGTATACACATAAATTTGTACTTCATAGCCCTCAATGTTTCATAGAAATCGGAAAATAAATATCGCAGTTAATTCGGACCGTATTGCCCTTAGTGTAAGGATGTGGAAAGAAGAAGCAGAGCCGCCTTGGTTTTTGGTTGTGTGTGGATTTGCCTATATAAGGAAGCTAGATTGTTTTTCAGCGGCAGCTTGGCGGCTTCTATCTCCTAGCCGGGCAATCCCGACTAGAGCACTCTCGACTTATTGTAAATAAATAAATTGATGCAACAAATTGTGTTCGACAATGTCTTACAGATCCGCCACAGGTCAGCTTGTCGCTGGGCTCCACCCTGCGGCCTGATGATATCAAGGAAGGCGATGATGTTTATTTCGAGTGTCACATCAAGGCGAATCCCAAGGAGCATCGCATAACCTGGTCGCACGATGTAAGTTGCCTGGTTGAGCGATAAAAATGTTGTGTCGCAAAGCTGCTAAGTAAATGAAATTTCTTGTTTTGCAGGGCCTGCCCGTTACACAGAACGTCTCCTGGGGCATCATCATATCCACGCGCAGCCTGGTCCTGCAGCGTGTGGGACGCGTTCATTCCGGCTACTATGCCTGCTCGGCGGCCAATGATCGCGGCGAGACGCAGAGCGCGCTGGTCAATCTACGGATACGCTGTAAGTGGTATTTGATAATATAATTAATAAACGCAGATCCAGAGTTCCAAACAAGCGAACCAGAAGCAGCCTGACTCGAGTTCCAGGCCAATGTATTGTCTTTGCCGAGGGCCACAGTTTGCCAGTTAATAAAAATTTTAGATAAAAAGCATATTTAATATTTATAAAATTTGCCAACATTTTAAACATCCCCATTGTTCAAAAATGATGTCGAAATTTGAACAAAAATAATGCTGACAGTTGGTGTCAGTCGAGCGGAGCATTAAAAATACATATGCGTAAATTTATGCACAAATAGACAACAAATAGTAGACATAACCACTGCACAAAACCGCCAACTGTCCGGAGTGGGCGTGGCAGCGCCCAGCTTTGATAAGCTGTGTGTGTGTGTGTGTGTGTGCGTGTGTGCGGCAGTTCACATCAGAAAATCACAAAAACCATCCGCCCTGTTGACAACTGGAGAACAGCAACAAATCCAGCAACAAAACCCAACAACAATAAATGTTACAAAATATTTTGTGCACAAAGCCGTAATATGAACAATACACTGCTACACACACACACAAACACACACACACACACACGCATATATAAATATATATGGATATAAACGTGTGCATATGTGTTTGTTGCTCGTGTGTACGTGTCTAATGGCTTTTCATTTTTACCTCTCCACAAACTGGCAGAACTTTACAATTACTGACTTTTTACCCAAAACAACAACAACAACAACAATATAATGTGCCGAAAATATGTGAAATTTCATTTTATCCCACACAATGCACACGAATTAAACAATTCTTTGTAATGCCATTTACATCTAATACTATTGAAAAACTTGGGCTATAAGCAAATAAAAATATAGCATTACGTTGAAAAAGTCTGTTGACAAATATTTACCTTAAAGTTACGAGTTGTAAGAAAGGTAAAACAGAATACGAATTTTTGGAGTACTCTCGTCATTGAGAACTAAAACATGATATTTGTTATTTCTCTCTCTTCTCCCTTATAAATGAACCTATATATTTTTTGTTGCCTTTAAGTAGGCTATAGTTTTAGTCATAAATAGCTGGGTTTGGCATATAGAACATATTATTTTTTAATATTATAATTATTTGTGTTAAAACTGTGTGTTTAAACTTTAAAGAAAATTTGCCTTGGGGTCAGTTAACACAGCGGGCAGCATGATATTATAATCAACTGGGCTTAATTGCGCCAAATTCTTAATGGATATTTTTCTTTCAATTATCCATCTTAAAATTGCGCTTAGAGACGACTTTAGTGACTCGAGGAGTGGATTGCAATTGTCCAAACTGACATCAATTAAATATCTGAAACCCTAAAGAGAATGAAACACAATAAGAAAATGTGATAAGGAAAGAAGTCAGTAAATCGTTCGTGCTTTTGCCGCTGAGATATAATACAGTTGCACTCGAGCAAAATCAGTTTGAATATTATATAGAATAGATATAGTCTAAGAAACTATTTAATAAAGGCTCTATATGATCGGTTGGCAATGATAGCAAAAGACAAATAAACATAGTGGACAGTCCACGAAGCTTATAATTCTCAATTAGTTTACGTATATGCCGATTTAGATTGTCTGAGTGTATTGTCTTATTAAGCGTATTCTTGTTTTATTATCTATCAACTACCAAAGTTTAAGCAACAGACACCTTCACCAATAAAGAGATCCATGAAGCTTTTGATTCTCAACCAGTTTTCTTATTATTATTAATTGTATTTCTGTTTTATTATTCTATTCATAAGCAAGCCTAACATTTGCAAACTTGCCCAAATTACTAAATCACTTAGAAAACACAGCTACTGATGACTGCTCGATTATTATTATTATTATGATAACTGATTAGAAAATGGTCGAAAATTTACCATATTTAATAATTAATTTGTTAAACTGATAAATTTGGAATATACACATATATTTTGACTGCAAAACGTTTGTTTTTCGTTGCGCAGCAGCAATTTATTGACTTTAATGCCGCACAGCTGCACAGCTACATATCATAATTAACTGTTTTCAATTTGCTGTTGACACTCGTTAACAAATACACATGTACATATGTAATTACACACACACACACGCACACGCACACATTTACAGCGTGGAACACACATTACAAAGCGCAATATAAATTCATCGCCTGACAATGGACGCATAAAATGATTTCAGGCTGCACACTAACACACACATGCACACACACACATATTGAAAATGTCTCAATTACCGTTATAGAGCATTTACTTCCGACTGTTTTTCTAAATAATTAATGATGCTTAAATACAATATGTATACATATATATAGAAACCGTTAGTGTTGCTTGGTCAATGGGCAAAAGCGAGTGCGTGTGCGTGTGTGTGCATGTGTGTGTGCATGTGTGTGAGCATAAATAAGTATGCATATTCATAGGGCGCAGCTGGATGGACAAACGCAGCTAACGTGTCAGCTGGACAACAGTTGCTGGCCGCGGGCAGGGGGCGAAGGGGGGGCTGGGGCTAGGATAATAAAAATGAATGATATGCTTTTATTATTGAAACACATAGTCATTGTAAAAACATTTATAATTATGGGCTCAGCAGCAGAGTGGAGAGCAGAAGGGGGCAGCAGGACGGATCAGCAGACATCGATGGAAAATTGCTTCAGCCAGTGTGTGTGTGTGTGTGTGTGCGTGTGTGTGCGCTGTAGTGTAAAATTCAATTTTTATTGTGCATATTTAATGCAGTTGGCAAAAAAAGCCATTTTATATGCAAATAAGTTTTGCTGCTGCTGCTAATGTTATAGCTGCTGCTGCTGCCAACAGGCCAAGTAAATGCAGATTATTTAATTAATTGCAATGCGCAGTGGGAACAAGCGCACATTTAGCCTCAGTATTTATGCATATTATTTAGTTTATTTAACTAAAAATTTAATTATGCTTGATTTTTGCGGTCGACTGATTTGAATTCAATTGCATTTAATTGAATTGAAAACGCAAACGTAACCCAATACCAATCGCATCTACATACATATATATAGTATGCCGAGCATTATTAACGCAAATTAGCAGTTGAAGGCAAATAAAAGCGCCCAAACATAAAACGAGCCTGACTGAGAATGAAAATTTGTATACGAAAAAGTGCTGCATCAGCTGCCGTTTGCAAACGTGAAATTGTATAAAATCGAAGACATCAGCAAATGGATATTACCTGATGCCCCTGTTTGCATTGCATTGAGTTACCCTTTTGCGATAATTGCGATAATTAAAAGCAAATACAAACCCAAGGGATACATATATATATAAGTATATACACAGTCAGCTATCAAATTGAAGAGCTATCGAGCTCGGGCATAACGTATACGCCACGTTAACATTTGCATAACGCATACAGCCCAAATGTGCTGGGTGCGGTGCACTGGGCGGGGAGGGGATGGAAGGGGAGGGGAGTTGGTGTATTGATAGGGTTCGAAGGGGGGTAACAATATTGTGTGGCACGACTATGATTGAGATAAATGGATTTATGGCAGTTGGCGCTCATATCTTTGCTGGAAATTAATCAGAATATGTTCAAAGTGACATTCTACGATTGTGAAATTGACGCAGCCATATAAATTTATGAGTATTTTGTATGGCAGCAGCAAACAGACAGACAGACCGACAGACAGACGGAGAGTCGGACAAACAGCTGGACCAAACAGTTGCTCGTAAAGTTGGTCAAGTTGCAGTTGTTATACTCTGAGCACATTGTAAATGGGTAGGTAAGGGTATACTGGCTTCGTGCAAATGTACGTAACAATCGGCAGGCGAAGGCATCTCGGACCCCATAAGGCATATATATAGCCAAGTCCGTATGAATGCGTTGATCTGAGATACTATAAGAGCTAAAGAGTCTCTATTGACCTCGCCAATTAGGTTTATTAGAAGTTATCGATAACTTGGCATGAAATCGATCAAAATCGTTATCGGAAGCCAGTTTTTGAGGATATCTCGGAGCGACACCAATTTGTTTATTAGCTCTCGTATAGTTTGCACAGCTCCAGAATATATGATTTGCGGAATAACTCAACCCATTCATAGTGCCTAGTATGTATCGAAAAAAGCTTAACGATGCGCTGGTTACAGGGTATCTTCTGGACAGGCACTTTCGACTAGTTGGCACTTTCGTGTTGCAATTGGTCGCACACACACATTTTTGGCTAATAGCTAAAAAGCAAAAGCTGAAATATTTAACATGCTCGGGCTTGAAATATTTGGTAGCTTATAAGCCAAAGCTATTCAAAACTTAGCTTGCACACATTTCGACTTATGGTATATTGCAAGCGGATCAAGCAAATGCATTTTATCAGCTGCAATAAAAAGCACTTTTACATTCTCCAAATACCTCAATATTTTATGGTATGTGTATTGCTTTTATTAAGCCGCAAAAAAAAAAAAAAACAGCAAAAAAAAAACTTTTCAAATAATTTTGTGAAAAAAATATCAAGCACATGAAATAAGTACTTATACTAAGAAGTCTTAGGCTTAAGGGTGGGGTTATGTGTGTGTGTGTGCCTATGTGTGTGTGTGTGTGTGCGTGTGTGTGTGCGTGTGTGTGTATATGTGTGTGTGTGTGTATGTGTGTGTGTGTATGTGTGTGTGTGTGTGTGTGTGTGTGTGTGTGTGTTTGTGTGTGTGTGTGTGTTGTGGTTGTTTATGACGAGGCGGCAGTGAAAGTTTTCAACTTGAAGTCAAACTTTTTAGCATGTGTGTTTGCGTGTGTGTGTGTGTGTGTGCCACACACAATGACAACACTTTGAATAAATCATAAGCCAAGTATTAAAGCCAACTTTGTGCTGATGCGATGTGCAGTAAGCGCTGAAAACAGCTGAAATGTATAAAAGATTGTATGTCAAATTTGACAAAGTCAAAATTTTAATTTAATGCATCAACATCAAGATCTTTGCTGCCGCTGCTGTCCGAGGCGCCTCACACCTGTCGGCAATACAATTTGGCGTTTTCCTGCTTTTCACACCAGCTGCTGCAGTTAAATTGAAAATCAAAGCTGTCAATTTGTCCTGCCGCTGTCCACTGCTCGGCTGTCAACTCGGTTCGGCTGGCACTATAAATACAATATATGTATATAGTATATATAGGTAAATGTTGAGTCAATATATAGATACTTTATGGACACTGCAGCTGCTCATTATTTTGAACTTTTCTTTTTGCCGGCCTGCCTCTCAATTGTACTATATATATACTCTCTCTATATTATTGTCTCGCACAGATGCGCCCGTTTGCAGCAGCAGTGTGATTGGGGTTATTGGCGCCTCCTTGGAGGAGGCGGTGCCGATACCGTGCCGCGTCAACTCCGATCCGCCGGAAATCGATTTCGAGTGGACATTCTCGAGCAGCGGCGAGCATTTCGAGGTGCCATCGGGACACTATGCGACCATACAGGATCCAACCATGAGCACCAGCAGCGATGTGCGACGCACCGTTGTCGAGTCCAATGATACCCACTTCGAGAGCTACGGTAAGTTGCACAGTCATTTTTGCTACCTCACATTGTGCGCCTGGCCATGCATATAGAATGTGAATTTAATTTGCATTGTGCTTGCGCTTGAGCAGGCTTTAGAAAATTAACAGGTGAGAGAGAGCCGACCAAAGCTGGCCCAAACTGGAGCCTATAGTAAGTTATGCCATGTAATCATGCCTAAAAAGGGGTATTCTGTAGATTTGCAAATATATGTAAAAGACATCCCTGATTTAATAATATATATACTTTCCCAATCAATCTCAAACTGACTTTCTGTTCTTTTGTCAATAAGAGTCGATCTTAGAGAAATGAAATGTGAAGTATAAGTTGTTTTAGACCCTAAACCAATCAAGTTTATTTCATGTTATCGATAATTCTTATCGAATCTCTTAAATCGATCAATTTCGATTAACATCCACGGTTTTGAACCTGATTGTGAGAGTAAAACACGGCATCTTTGGGACGAAGACTCCTGTCTCGCTTACTCAGATCAAAGATATTTAACTTATTGAGCACCTTTCGCAGTTAAAATTTCTAATATATAACCTTGACGATTAGTATATACAGATAGTAGATAAATTCTTAGGTGTTACCCGGATCAATTTAATAATGTTGGATATTCAATACTACCAAAAATATTTGCTTAATTTGCCTAACATCAGAAACATGGCCCCGAATTGATGCCATTAATTTTCGTTCAAATATATTGCATCGCCTCAATTGCACAGAAAAAAAAAACTTACATAATTTCTTATTTAAAAAAAAAAAATATAAAAACCCCACAGTTCAGTCAGAAATATCTTAATAAGGTTCTCAAAATCGATAAAAACTGAAATAATTCATTTTTTAATGTCCGACTGAGAAGAGGCGTAAGTCAGTTTGCTGGGTATCTACTAGTCGTGCACTCTTGACTTGTGCACTGTTACTTGCTATCAATATTATGCACATAAATTGAATTACCCGTGCGTCCCAGCTGGCCTGACTGGCCGAGCAGAATTTATTTCATTTAACTTGGCCAAAACCTAATGCAAACACAATGTCTGTATCTATCTATGTCTGTGCGCATCATGTAATCCATTTAAGACACAATTCTATTGACTCTCTCTCGATTATACATGTATATAATTCTTTTCTTTTCCTCGCAGTGGAAACAATAAGTGAGCTGATCTATACGCCGAAGGGCGAGCGGGACTACGGCACGCTGGCGTGCTGGGGACGGAATGCGATTGGCAAACAGTCGGAGCCGTGTCTATTTCAGGTGGTGCCAGCGGGTGAGTGTGTGTTACGTAATTAATTTTATAGATTTAAATTAAATTTTATTGGTTTATTATTTGGCTTTTTTTTCATTACGTAGCCAAGCCGGGCGCTCTGCGCAATTGTACGCTGCGTCCGTATGTGGTGACCTCCGCGTCGCTGAATTCATCGAATCAGACGACAATGCATGGCAATCAAATGCTGCAAACACAATACGGCAGACACGATGCGAATTATCCGCACATGGAATACGTACGTGAGCGCAATAATGCCAGCAATAATCGACGGAACAATGTGGCTGCATCAGCTGTCAATAATAAAAATATGAAAGGCAAAAGCAAAATAAATGCTGGCCCTGTTAAATCTAATAAGCAGCAGCAGCAGCAGCAGCAGCAGCAGCAGCAGCAGTCGGAGCAAAGATATCGCCTGAATCAACAGCAATTGCAGCGTCTAAAAAAGCGGACATCATTTACACCATCGCAGACATTGGCGGCCATTGAGCGTGGCAAGAAGCAGCAGCAATTGCTGCTGGCCAAGGCAGCTGCCACGCCCACAGTTGGCTTCATCAATAACAAAACTGATGAATTACTGGCCAAGCAGCCAAAGCAGTCGAACCTGCCACAGGACACCAAGCGGCGTCTGCGACGCGCTCCAAAACTGCTCAAGACAGCCGCAGCAGCAGCAACAACAACAACAACAGCAGCAGGCAAAAAGCTGCAACGTGCAGCAAAATCAAATTTATCATTGTCACATATAAAACAGGCTGAAATAGTTGCTGGCTCGAATGTCAAAAGCAACAACGGCAAACTGCCAGCAAAGTATTTTAATAAGCGACAGAAAAACATGCACAAACAGCAGCAGCAGCAACAGCAGCAACAGCAGAAGCAGCCGCAGCGGCAACAACAAGGACTAAGCAGCGAGGTAAACGAGCACAACATAATCCATCATTTTGCAACAGCGAGACGAGGCAAGCGCCAAGCAGCAAATGACATTACAGCAGCAGCAGCAGCCACGCCAGCAGCAGCAGCAGCAGCAGCTGGCACAACAGCAACAACCAAGTCAGACTCAGACGATGCCAGCAGCAGCAGCAGCGGGAGCGGCAGCATTGGCATCGGCGACATTGACACAATGCTGGCTACAATGCGGGCACGCAAATCTTTGGAGGTGATTGGCAATGAGAAAGTCAAGAACAGACTGTTGCCACCGAATGCGCCACAAATTAGCAACAAGCCGGCGGCAGCAGCGCAACAAATGGCAGCAGCAATTAGCAGCAACAATAAGCAAGCAACAGCAGCAGCAGCCGCAGCAGCCGCAGCAGCCGCAGCAGCAGCAGTTGCTGTTGAAGTCAAGACAAACCTGGGCAAAGATAGCGCGCCTTTGTCCACAGATCCGGCGAGAGCTGAGCAGGCAGACAATGATGAGGACAATGATGAAGCTGATGCTGATGCTGATGAGGATGACGTTGCGATTGCTGACGGAGATGCTGAGGAGCTGCAAGCAGACAACGACGACGACGACGACAACTACATGGCAGATGAGCCCAGCGACTTGGCGGACTATGAAACAGGCGACCAACAACAACAACAACAGCAGCAACAACAACGACAGCGACAGCATGTTGATATTTCAAGCCTGGAGCAGCAGCTGGACCTGGAATCATTAGAGGATGATGATGCGGATGCCGATGCCGATGTCGATGTCGATGATGATATCTACAATGTTAGCGACGATGATTTTGTGGCCAGCGTGGCGCTGTCTACCGCAGAAGCAACAACAACAGCAACAACGACAACAACTACAGTGAAGCCGCAATCAGAGCAACCAAAGCAACAACAGCCCCCCACAGCTCTGCCAGCCGAGTGGCAACAACCCCATTTCGATTACTCACGCATGGAGTACAGCTTCAGCAATGGCGTGGTCACTCAAAGTCTTATTGGTGGCGGCGCCAATGGATACGATGGCAACGCAGCGGCTGGCGGTGGCGGCGGGGGCGGAGGGGGGACCATCAATTTCGACAACTATGACAACATAATATACTCAACGATGGAGCTGGAGTGCATGCCCGGCTATGATGGCGGTCTGCAGCAACAGTTCTATCTGGAGGCCTACGATTCAAAGACCAAAAAGCTAAGATTAAACATGACCAGCACCTATATGGATGTGCCAGTTTTTCGCATCGATCTGTCTGGTGAGTTGCGTTCCGATAACTATTGCTTACAACTAATCTTAAGGAAGCACACAGATAAAATAAAATGAGATAAAAGACTTTTTTAATGATTAGCCACATGATTTAAATGATAGCATTTTGTTAATGCTTATTCAAGCTCTTCTTATAATGAGAATAGCGCAGATTTTTTAAAATGAAAAGAGTGCGCTTTGGTTTGCTAGCCTTGTTGGCTTTTCACCTTTTCGTTGCTTATAATTCTCAAGTAGTTCTAGCTTCGCAGTGAAAATAAAGCGCTGCATATCTAAAGTCGATAACGAGGGCAGCTGATGAAGTAACTTGTAGGTTCTTTAAATAAATACCTTGCCGCCAGCTTTAAGTGTAGTATAAAAAGTAAAAGTTTCAATTAGATAAGTCAAAAACCAAGAGACAAACGAATAGTTGAACATAGGTATATCGACCTATCTATTAAAACTGTGCCAGCATGAATAGATATTTTACTTTTAGGTAGTTAGTATACTCTTAATAAGGTTATAATAAAGGTAACAAGAGAGAGCATTGGATAAAAAAATATATTATTTTTGGTTATTTAATAAAAGGTTTCTTATTCTTATTCTCTTCTAATAATTTACCCGAACTACCTTAAAAAGGTGACATACACAACCTAACAGGCTCTCTCATTGCACTTGTACTGTGGTATATAAACACTTTTTCTAAACAGAACAAATTCTTATATCTTTTATCGTGACATCCAACTTCGTCTTTTTTATTGAGTTTTGCTTAATAGGGATATGCAAATAAGGCGTTTCTTGCAATCATTTTTATCTATAGCTCGAAATGGGGCTGTAATTTTAGGCGATATTTGGATATTGACCCAAATTTAAATTAGCTATTTATCGCCCTTCTTCGTGTCTTCTCCACTTTATACCCTGAGATATTCACTCATAAAATTTAATCTATCTGAGATCGTTTCATGCTGATTCTATGAAGGGGAGCAAGTGACACAATCTGTACAATTTACTATATAAGTCATTTATTTTGCAAACTTTACTATTCTTATCAGATTATCTGATAAGTTCTTTGAAAGATGGAACTGCAAATAATATTGCTTCCATAACTGTTCCCAGCGGCACTCAGAACAGAGCACCTTCCAATCGGCATTCTACCTTGCTTTTCTCTATCATAATCAGAGCTTTGAATAAGAAATAATATATTTACATATTGTAAGTTAAGGCACTTGTTAAGGTTCCGGCAAGATTATGGGCGGCAAGTGGGTAGACCTGAATGCCTTCAGGTTGTTAACAGGCGCCCGAGAAGTGGGCGGCAGGTCCTTAGGACAAGTAGGTCGAACTGTAGATGCTTGTTAATGCGCCTGTGTATATATATTGAACATATAGAAAATACCTAAGAAGCTTAGATTGAAGGCAGTGTGTACCTGTAAATAAACAATTTGCACTTGGTTATGGGAAATGTTTTGAGTCAACAGCACACAGCTGGCCCAAAGTTGAGCACTTGGCTGCTGTGTTTATCGCAGCAGAGCTTAATCATTATTATATTTAAATATGGTTGGATTTACAGATTGCTTTGGTAAGACTGCTTCGGCTTAGCGAAGAAGAAGAAAGCGTTTTGCAGCCCTGTGCAAAAAGCCGCAAACTAAAGACTCGACTTCTATGCGGCCAACACAACAGCAACAGCAACAGCAGCAACAAAAACAAATCAAAGTAACAAACTGTGCAAAAAGTTAAGCAAGCCAAATTGCGCGGCGTGTTTGGCATGGAACGGGCATGGGGATAAGCAAGCAAGGCTATCCAAAAACAAGCTAAAGTGGTCTGGTCGGGCAAATACCCGACGTGAAGATACCCAGTACACTTCCACACACAATGGCAAATGCTTTGTTTAATAACTTCGATCGATAAAATTGGCACGAAAGCCCAAGGCTATAGCTTCAAAAGTCTATTGGCCAGGGGGGGAAAGGCGGGTGGCATTTCAAAAGTAACTTAACCCTGGACCTGTGTATAATATACGAAAAGTCTACATACCAAGTTTGGTGTTTCTCGCTCTTATAATTTTCGAGATTTTCTTAAAAACAAAAACCTCTCAAAATCGATATTTATCGATTTTTGAAAAAAAAAAGAAGGAATATCTCCTTATTAACAATTAACTTGTGATACGAGAGAGTTTCAACATTCCGATCAAGTGCGTAAGTTATCGATCAATCGAAAAAAACCGGAGAATAGGCGGAGTTTCTTTCAAAATATCAAACCTATTGCTCTTAAAGTTCCCAGAATCAACATGTTTATACAGGCAGACGGATGGACAAGTCTAGATCAACTGCAATCGTCCTCCAGATCAAAATGTACATAGGCAATTTATCAGGTCGGAGATGCCATACACTATGCATATAACTCTTATAACCTATTAAAATGTGTACTGGGTATAAAAGCAACAACGGCAACAACAACTACACAGTGGCACGCAGATTAATTAGTTGAGGCTGCCAGGGCCACATGCCGCCCCCCCGCCCCGCCAAACATTACAAGCAGCTGGCACATGCGGCTGCCTCTATTTGTTGTAATGAATTTTAGCTAGTCAGCAAAACTTTTATGCCAATGGCAGGGCAGGATCTGAAACCTGGATGAGGGGAAGGGGGGGTGGAAGTAGTGCCCGCTGGCAATAGTCGTCGGTAACCGAGGGGCAGCGGTGGCCGTGGCCGTGGCAGTGGCAGCAACAGCAAGTGGCAAAAATTTCGTGAATTAAGTTGTTGAAAAACCAGATTTATTTGCACGCCCAGCGACTGAGAATGAACCAAAAATATATAATCGCAAATTGCAATTTTGATTTTAGCCATGCGTAATGTCAGCAACGAGCAAAAGGTAAAAACTTGTCGAGTTAATGAGCCACATTTGGTTATCATTTTTGGCTTGCAACTTGGCAACACTCTTGCAACCCGGCAGCAGCTTTTTATGTAGCCTCTCTCATCGATGACTTGATGGCGGCATTTGTGGGCTGGCCTTGCGGCTTTCCATTCTGCGATATTTGCAAAGTCAAACGAAGCGTAAAGTCACGATTAGTTAGACAGGCGTGTTAACGACCCGGGCTTTACAGATGAGCTTGCCTCTTGAGGCTACAGCCTGGCTGGGGTTCGACTCGTCTTGGGGTTAGCTGCTGCTGCGTATTGGTGCTGGCCCTTAACAAGTAGTTGCCATTTTAATGAGCTGCTTTTGCAGCGAAACAACAAACTTTTTTTGATATGAGCATCATAAAAACGCACAAAATAGTTCGAAACGGGAGTGCCCGACTAGCAGCTATCGTAGATCCAGGCTCCGAGCTGGCGTAGCCTTTACTAGCTCTTGCTTCTTCCAGCTTCCTGTATAACTCCTATATACATTATCTAGAAGCTATGACTGATGACATGTCAGTGAATATACATACTAAAAATAAAGGATATATAAAAAAATAAAAACATTCTTTTCTGTGAATCAACAGACCGAATTATTATGTCTCTAGCATTTATAATCTATCAAATATGCACAAAAAATTGAAACGAAAATCGATAAATTTGGGAAATAGACTTAAAAATTAAACAACAGAAAACCTATATTTCAAATATTGCAACATTAGCTTTTATAATATATGAGATATGCTCAAAAATGTCAAAATGGATTATCGATATATCGATATTAAAATACTGGCGAATATTTATAAAAATTAAGCCAACTTCATAAACAGAAAACCTGTTTCAAATGTTGGTCTCTAGCTTTTAAAATCTATAAAATATGCTGGAACAAAAAACCATATTTATCGGTTTTATGTAAACTGGGGAATGGTCGTAAAAAAGTAAACTTGTTTCTGAAATTTTATCTTTGTGTCGACTCTGGATATATATAAATAAATAAATATAATTACGAACAAAATCGATATTTATCGATTTTGAGGGGAGTTGTAAAATTAACACAAATTTAATTTTCGGAAAATATATTTTAAAAATTTTGCTTCTCTAGCTTTTATAATCTGCGAGTCAGCACAAAAATAAAGCCAGGCACTAACATCGATATTTATCGATAAAAAAAACAACTCCAATATACCCCATTTTACGCATTTCCAGTGTACACTGGCTATTGAAATAAAAAAAAAATAAACCGAAAGAGCAAAAGTTTGCATTTTATGCGCACGGGGCAAGTTTTTGCTGGCCGCAACGTGTTAATTAAATGCCTGTTTACCTAATGGAGTTTGCAAATACAAGTTTTACAATAAATGATTCGGTTGAGCTAATGGAACTTGCATATCCTCCCTTGTAGATCTGACGCCGATGGACTACTATCCGGATGCGCATCCAGCGCTGCATTTGGTCGTCTACAGCGTCAACCAGAAGGGACGCTCCGAGCCGATTGTGCTGGAGAATGTGCCCATCAATGAGGCGGACAAGCGTTCAGGTGGGTGTTATGCTGCTTATGAATTGTACCTTAGCCATTTAAGCAACAACAAAATAAATAAAAAAAACTACAACTGGAACATTGCACATACAAAGTTTGCATTTCGCATTGTCCCCGAAGTGTGTTTGTGTTTCCACGAGAAGTGTCGCCGGTCCCTCAAAGTATGCAACACGGCGAAAAGTTCTCAAGGTGCCGGGGCGGTGGGGCGGGGGGCTTCATTCATTGCTTTTTAAGCACCATTTCACCTTTAAAAAGTCATTCAAGTATTTGCATAGTCTGCTTAACCGTTTTAGTTTTTTGTAAGTACAATTGTTCTTTTATTTAACGAGTTTTGTTTACGTTGGGGCGCGACAGTTTCTCCAACTTCTGCCGGCCCCCTGCCCCCTGTCCCTTGTTACCCACCCCCCCTCTCCCCTCTCCCCCTCCCCCCTCTCCCATTCTCTGTGTGCACCTGACCCAAACCGCGGCAAGTAGTGTCGCTAAGATTTCTTATTCATGCTTTGTTATTCAACTTTGACGTTAATTTTCTTGAAAAGTTTCTTCCTTTTTTTTTCGTTTCCCTGACGCATTAAACGAGGCAAAAAAATTGTGCAAATTGTGTGGAAAGCGTTTCGAAAGGCTTGTTTTACACGCACTTTGGGATATTTTTGTTTGTGGGCCGCAATAAATTGATTGCGCCACATAAGTAAGAAGTAGGCTTGCATTTTAATGATATTTTTGGGTTACTTTGTAAGTCTTCGAGTCCTTCGAGTCCTTCAAGTGAATCTTAACAAGCATTGAGAACTGAAGTATTGATGATAGATAAAGTATAAAGGAAATCAAGACAACAAAATGGTTTTGAAGTGAACAACTTCAAACCCGAAATTTCAATTTATTTGGTTTTGTAAACCGAACCTTAACACCTTAAACATTTTATTTTTTTTTTAAATAACAATAATATTTACTTATTTTTTTAAAATAAAAATCACACAATATAATACTCAAATAAGATACAAGCTTTTTAAAGCTAAGAACTCAACTCTTTTAGGAAGAACCTTTCTTTAATCCAGGGAATTTTTGTTTAGAATTTTTTTTGATTCTTTCACTAAGAACTAAGAAATGCCATTTCTTAAATGCGAAGGTTCCTTACAGGAGTTATTTCTAAAATATTCATCATTTTTTCTCCAAGAAAGTTTCTTTTTCATCTTTTCCTTTAAACTTTAAACTATCTTTAATCCAAAGCTCCCTAACAGAAATGATTTGAAGAATATTTATAATTTTTTCACAAAAATTTTTTTTGCTTTTAGAACGTTTCTTTCTTTCTTTTCCTAACAGAGATTATTGCATTTCATAATTTTTCACTAAGGACTCTTTTTTTCTTTTCCCTTTTTTCTGTCTTTCACTTAACCTTTAACCTTTCCCGAATCCAAAGTTCCCTAACAGGAATTATTTTGCCAATAATCATACTTATTTGCAGCAAATTGCAGAGAATTTTGATTTATTCCCAACAAATTTGGCAGTTAAAACAATAAATATTTGCAATTCATTTTGAGTTTTCTCGCTTTTCACACATCCAGCATAAGTTGAACTTATATGCAATCAATTAGGCCAAATTCAAACACAAATTGTGTACAATAAATGTAACAAAACGAACCGTTTATACAGAACTACCATTTATGCACCTGGCCATATCAACATGGCCTAGTTAAACATAGCACATTGATTTATTACGTTATTATGTTATTAAGTAGGCTAAAATCCAGTGCGGACTTAGCCAGCCAATAATGATAAGTATCTCCCTCTATCACTCGCTCTCTCTCCATCTCTCTCTCTCTCTCCATCTCTCTCTCACTCGCACCTAAGTGCAATGGGCAATGATATATTCGTAAGCTTTGGCCATTCAACATGAACAACAAATCCACTCAATCATCTCTTTAATGCGCATTAGAGTAGCACACATCAGCGTAAATTCATATAAAGTTGGTCAGAAAAGGACGGAAAAGGGACAAAATATTAGAGCATATTAGATATAGCACGTTTACGTAGCTATAACTAGGAGAACTAGAGGGAGCTAGGAGAACTAGAGGGAACTGCAGATGCACTAAGCGAAAACTGAGAATTAATTGCATTAAGTGAAAAAAGGTATTAAAATCAAAACAGTTTGAAAATTGACAAAAATCTTAAATATATAATTGTTAAACAGAAAATGATTGCTTCTAAGAATTTGTATTAAAAAGGGAATATTTGCCTGATATTCAATTTATTATTGTTAGGCAGCAAATGAATGTTTCTAAAAATTGTTATTGAAAAGTGAATATCTGCCTGATTATGAAAAGTTTATTATTCATTATGGAACAGCTGTAGCCTGTAGCTAAACCCATATTCACTTATCAAATAAACTAAAATAAAGATGGGTTTTAATTTGATTTGAAAGTAAAGTAAGGCAGACGCAATGCGTTCAAAAGGTATACAACAAATATTAACCATTTAAAATTGATTTTAGTCTCTACACTAACCAAAGATATTAAATAAGGATGGGTTTTAATTTTTTTGAAAAAAAGTACAGTGTTTGCTCGCAAATGCGTTTAATATGAATTAAGATATTCTAACAATTTAAATTTTATTGTGTTCTACATTGAATAACCAATTATTGAAAATCATAAAAGATTTTACTCTTCTTTCCTCGTTCGAAAGATCATATAAATTTGTCAAATATTCAAATTTCAATGAACAATATATAAATTTAATTTTTTTATTATTTATTTAATTACACTCCATGACTTTTAAGACAGTTTTGCAGTTTTTGACAATCCTATGTGCAAAAATGTTTTTACAAATTAGTCAGGCATACAATATATCTGTTCCATGTGGGATCTAATTTAATCTAATAAAGTTCCAATTGCTGGACGAACACCGTGATAAATATTGCTCCAATAACACTGCAGCAAATTCTTCATAAAAGTTTTCCAAGATTTCTATGAACAATTGCAATAAATATTTACCATATAAGTATTTCAGATATTTTTCTATTGAAATACACACAATAGTTTACACAATTCAAAGAAACTGAAACTGTGACGAAATCTTATAAAGCTGATATGAGAGCATATAGTTTTTTCTCCAAGTGTGTAACCATGTGTGACACAGGTGTGCGTGTGTGTGCGTGTGTGTGTGGGAGAGTTATACGCAAAAATGCAATATACGTCAAGTGTCAATATTTGCACCTTGGCAAATTTGAAAGCATTTCATTCGACACTTAACTGGGTAGATTTGGATGCTGGCACACAGGGGCGAGCGCGGAGTTGGGGGGAGGTTGGGTTGGGTTGGGTTGGGTTGCACTGGGTAGCTAGGGAATTTTGGAACAGTTTACAATGGCAACGCCTTGACGCCATCACATTAATGTAAATATAATCAATTTCATGTTTTACCTGAGCCAAAAAAAAAGAAAAAACGGTAGAAGAAGAAATAACCACACACTGAGAAAAGAAATATCTTGTTATGCTAAACTGACACACAGAGATTCCCCAAGAGTTACATTATCCACATTGAGCATGCCAGGCAGGACGCTGCGGCACATACTACATACTACATATATATATATATACAGATATACATTATAGCGGCAGGTGCGGCGTCAAGGTAACAGCGCATCAGACGACAGCAGCGGAAATGTAACAGACACTGAGACCCTGCCCGCCCGCACACCTGTCTGCCACACACACACACACACACACAGCAGTGAGCGTGGCACATGCAACACAAAATATAAACGATTACTGTAAGACAAGAAAAATATACATTAAACATGTCTTATCTGAATAAAATATCCCAAAAGACAACGGCGCTGAAAGTAAAGTAAAATAAAATTATATCCTATATACAGCAGATCGAAGAAGCTTGCTTGACTGGCTGGCTCCTGGCTCCTGGCTGGCTCCTGGCTCCTGGCTCCTGTTTGGAGGTTTGTCCGCCTTGGCGGCAGCTGTGGGCGGGGCACGGCATGCGATACAGATACTACATTGTTTGGCCTGGCATCCGGCCACACACCCGCATACAACATTTTATTTATGCTTACTTTGTGTAAACGTAAACGTAAACCGTAAACGCATTCCCGCTCAGCCAGAGCTGGCGACGACTCGACTCAGCCTCGCCTGGTCTGGCCTCGCCTGGTCTGGTCTGGCATGTGAGCAGCGTCGTCATCGTAATCCCAATACATTTTAACCAATCCACTTTTTCATCGTTTCATCGAATCATTTATATCACAAACGGGGAGCATTAAATCGAATTAAGCTTATAAGCAGAGCCAACCAGTAACCAGGGCCAAAAGCAGCAGCCGCAGCAGCAGCAGCAGCAGCAGTAGACGAATTGCTGCTGCTTGCGTCCTGCACTCACCAAATGAAACGCATACAAACAATTGGCTTATGAGCGCTGCCTGGGCAATGTTTGTGATGTGGTTCCTGCTCCTGCTGCTGCTGCTGTTGTGGCATGCAACATACAGGTACTCGGGTGTCGCTTTGGCTCTCTCTCTCCCTGGTTGCCTGGCTTATCTGCTTAACTTGGGGCATGCAACACACCATGCCCTCTCCAGCTCCCAGCTCCCTGGTGTAAACGCCCACGTTGCCAGTTCTCGTCCTATCTGCTGCTTGTTTTATTGATAAATATTTGCACAAGTGTGAAAATTTCATTACGCCGCTCTGCTTATATTTAAATTACTTTCTTCGCTTTTCCTTTTTATTGTTGGTTATTTTTTTTGGTTTTTTTTGGTTTTCTTTGTTGTTGCCAGCAGCTCAGCTCGCATGTCGCTCGGCATCAGTTTCAAGTGTCTTCCTGCTGCTGAATATATATATCTATATATATGTACAATATTTTATTTGGCCAGCGACTGTTCACTTTGGCATTCCTTGCTGGTCTGTGTGTGTTGGGTTTCATTTTGATGCGTTCGGGGATTTGTATGCGCTGTCTAGCTTTGAGGTAATGCGATGCCAATCTATTAAGTAAACTGAGCTTACACAACGTACCTTATACAAATACATATATATTTATATACAAGGCGGAAAACCAGTTCAAACCGGCAAGTCCCAATTTATATTGCCTCTATGAAGCGAACCCTAAGTTAACCAAATTAACAGACGAAATTAAGTCACAATTTTTAAACATTTAACAGACGCACTTAATTAAATAAATTTTAAGTAAATCTTTAATTACATTCTTTACTATTTTTTTTTAATATTTAAGTATTATTAGACTAAATTTGCATTTTATATGGCCAAAAATATGATCAGCTGCACGAATCAAGCCAAGAAAGTTCATATATATATAAATTATATTCAAATTTAATTAAATCGAAATAAGCTATATGTTATTTGGGCAGATCTGGAAAGTGCACCGCAAGAGGCGCAGATTCGTATATATTTTTCGAAAAGTCATGTGCCAACAATTACAGCACATGTAAAAATTGTTCGACATGCACATGCGTATTTAAAAGTATGCCCCATACATGCCCCAATATGCGGCTGTGTGTGTGTGTGTGCTTGTGTGTGCTTGTGTGTGTTGGTGTGCTTCTAAGCGCAGCCATGCATAAATGAGCAATTTCGCTCGCGGCGCAGTTTCGTCAACATTTGGTGAAGCTGCACAAAAATACAAAAAAAAAAATCAAAAAAAAAACAGGAAAATATTTATTGATTTGCAACTTTGGCGCTGCTGTCGACAGCGTCTGGCTGACAGGCGCAGGTTTATAAATTAGCAACAGTCGGCGACTAACACATCTTTCTGAACCCCCCCCCTCCCACATCACCCCTCAACGAGTGTGTTAGCCAGCTTTGGCTGTGGCTTTGCCATTTCGGCATGTTTGCTTATTGAAATTCCGTGTTGCATATCCGCAGGCGCGCATGATTTGTTGAATGTTAAACACATTTCAGCTACACCACGTCCCATTTACGTACACGAAATACTTATGGCCTTGTAATGCATATTCAATTACGCCAACGTCAACACCAATGCCCGAAAAAAATAAATCCAAATAATCAAACGACTTTTTCAATTAAGCCCTCTCTTCACGGCAATAACTAACTAGTTAACTTATTTGTTAAAATAAAAACGAACTGAAGGAAATGCACCCAAAGGCGCAGCTTTGGTTTACCAGTTTTCCACATCTTTGTTAACAGTTGCTTACATTTTGGAAATTTTCCATTTAAAACAATTTAGTTTCTTTTTATATTTCTCCAAAACTTTCCTTTTCTCAGTGTCAAAAACCCAAATTTGGCAATAATTATTATAATAAATACAAATTAAATATTCTTGTGGGAAATGCCTCCTTTTTAACCATTTTCATTCGAGTTCGGGTCATACAATTCGTTGGAAACACACAATATTCTGAGAAACATTAGACTTGGTTCTGGTTGAGTTTCGGCTGTTCTTTAAAAGTTGGAGCTCCGGGCTAAAAATTTTCAGATTGAACAGATTCTGGCTTAACCCAGTTTGTAAAAGAATGCAAACCAACATAACAAAACTCTGGGTTATCTTTTACGCAACCCAATACATATATTTATTTTTTAATTTTGTTTATTTTTTTTTTTAATTTAACTGTTATTAAGGCAACAACTTTAATGACAACTTTTCTACATTTAAGTCTAACATAATTAAATTTACAAAAAAAAGGTTGGTAATATAATCTGATCTGAGAGAACGATTGAATGAGACCTCTGCAATCTCCTCCAGTTACGGGCTCCTCCAATTCTGGTTCAACTCAAAATGAAAAACTTTTGTGAAAGACTTAGCCACAAATTAGGAATAAATTGAACCCCAACCATTGTATTGATCAAGTTTCTTCAGTAACTTCTTAACTTCTTCTTAACGGGCAATTGTAAATTACAAATTGAATGGTTGAAAAAAGTATTGAAAATATATGACAAGCCAAGGTTTGAACCAAAATATGGATTTATGGATAGGGGAAAAAACAGGTTTACGAACCAAAACTTAAGACAGAAAGTCGTTTCGAACGGAAAACCGAATCCCCGACCTTTTGTTAAAGGATGTGCAGGCCTTATTAAGAGAGTATGAGTCTTATATGAAGAGTCGAACGTGATCCATAGAAAATTGAAGGCAAAAAATATAGTTTTAAATGGTCTATTTTGGTTGCTAACAGGCACTTAAAGAGTGTGTTCTTTTTTTGAAATCGAGCATAAGCCTGGAAACAAAATAACACTGGTAAAATGTGCCTTTATTTTATTTGTTGTTTCATATTCATGCAAAATACATGTATATGGCATAGTAAAACCTACGAGTGTTTGCATTTGATCTCTAATGCTTTTCATATCGGTTCTGGGCACTTACAGATGGACGCATGGGCCTATCCATATTGCCGCTGGCCGCGCTGCTCACCGGGACCCTCTTCACCGTGGGCATCGCCGTGTTGTTTGTGGTTGTCATTGCGGTGCGTCGTCGCCGCTGCCAGGGCGCCCGGAATTTGTGCGATGACAAGGACAAGCACTTGGGTGAGTATTGCCGAAAACGCTGGCTAAAATATGATATGACCAACTGTTCAAATGGCAGGCATGGATGTGACGGTGACGGCGCCCCTGGAAACGGGCGCCGGCCATCAGCGACTGGTCGTCGCCTACACGCTCAAGCAGGGCATCGAGAAGCAGCCGGACATACTGAGTGCACAGAAAAGCGCAACTGGCAGCGACACATCCTCGCCGCTGGGAAATCGACAGAGTGGTTCGTTTATGGGCGGTTGCAGTGGGCCAGCCACCAGCGGCGCATCGGCGAGTCATAAAACTGCCGATTATGTAAGTTGAATGCGCCAACAACAAAATTCTTAAACTACATTTTAGAAAATTGTCAAGAAATCTCAATTTGACTTTAATTTAGAATTTCTGGTTTTTAAAATAATTTTATAAGTTTTAAAACAAAAAATTTCTTTAAACAAAATTTAAAAAAGGTTTTAAAACTAAAAATATCTTTTATGGCGATTTTCTAAACACGTTTAACTAAAAACGAACACAAAAAAACGTTTGTAGAAATTTTCGAAAGTCGCCATTAAAAAAATATTTTTTTTTTTACTAGAACATTTTCGAAGGACATTTTTTTTTTTTAATTTTTTAAAATTAAGAGCATTTTTTCATGTTTTAAAAAAAGGGTTTTATATTTAAATAAAATGAGAACATTTTGTTGATTTTTTAAAGAAAATATCCCTAAAATAAAAAAAAATTTGTTATAACAAGCCCAAAAAAAAATTAAGTAAATTTTAGAAACTTGCCTGAAAATAAATAGTAAATAATAAAAAAAAAAATAATACATAAATATTATTATTGACTTACAAAAAAATGTTATTTTTTATAGAAAAAATAAAAACATTTTTTTAGTCAAATAATTGTTAAAAAAAATGTTTATAACTTTTGGCGATTTTCCAATAGAAAGAATGCAATTTTTTTTGAGTGGATGTTATTGATGTTGCAATAGCTAACATTTGGCCATTTGGCATCGTTGCAGGAGGTGAATGCGCCGCACCTGAATAGCCCGCCCTCGCAGTCGAGCACGCTGAAACTGGAAAGTGAGAATGCGGCGAAAAGTTACCAGACGCCAGCGGCGGCAGCATCGCTGCTGTATGATGCCATGCCCACGCTCAGTCGCTACGAGCAGCTGGGCCTGAACATGGGCAGCTATGCCGGCGGCACCGGCGCCGGCGGAGGTGGTGGTGCTGGTGGTGGGATTGGCAGCAACAGTACGCTCAGCTCGGCCGGAAGCGTGGCGAACTCGACGAGCAATGCGCTTGGCAATGGCGGGCACTATGCCCAGCATATGCATCATACGCTGCCCCATGGTCTGGCCTCGGGCAGCCTGCCACGCGGACGTGATCCGCTAACTTTGGCCGATTATCTGACCACCAGCAGCCTGATTGACTATAATCTGAGCAAGTCGGCGGCCGTCACAGCAGCTCCGCTGCCCACGCACATGACGCTGCCGAAGGGCTTGGGCCATGTCGGCGGCATGGCCGGCACAAGTCTGTCGCCCTCGCAGCTGACAACGATTACACAGAAATCGAATGCCGGACGCAATCACATCATCACGGACACACTGCCCGGCCCGGAGAGCTGCGTCTAAAGCTTGCGCGTGGACGGGCTATCGAATTCCTGGCAACAAACAAAAGACTGGCGCACAACAGAAACAGATTTAAACAAAAAAAACCAAAAAAAAAAGGAAACATAAATCGAATACAGAGGCAGCAGCAAATGCATTAGTTGAAAGTGAAATACGTATAGTATATATAGAGCATATAGAACTAGGTCTAAACTTAACAAAAAACAAAAAACCA